GAGGGGCAGAGGGAGAGGGAGATAAGCAGCTGAGCTCAGGTCCCCACCTGGGGCTTGATCCCAGGACCAAGAGATCATGACCTGAGTCAATGAAATCAAGAGTCAGATGCTTAACTGATTGAGCCACCCAGACGCCCAGTCTTACTCATATTTCTAAGCCAACATTTGTTAACTTGTACTCTGGATCCTCAAAGGGGCCAGAGATCAAATTATGGGGATTTATGGACTTAGATTAAAGAAAAACTACATCTTGAATTTCACTAACTCCAAACTGAAATGTAGCATTTCTTTCTATTATGAATTTAGGGAACAAACTACAGAAACACTAGAAGTCCATGTGGCTTTGTCACAAATAGAAGTCAGATATATCCATATCACATTACAGTCACTGCAAATATCTTGAATTATCACTTATGCTCATCACTACTTCAAAATTACAATGGTTATTAGATCTACAACTGGAAATTTTTATTTAATACCTTTAGAAAGAAGTGTGCTTATTATGATTTCACAATTTTTTTTGATATTTCAACAAATGTGTTTTCAATAAAATTGGTTTCCATTATAATCTTTTGTGTCTTATTTAATAGATTTCAAAACATTATTCTGAGAATGGGTCCATAAGCACAAGAAAAGGTTAAGGATGCCTCTCTGGGTTTCTCCCAAACTCTACCTCCTCTGAGAAATTTTCCCCCATCACCCCAACCCCACCACACACAGTTTAAATTAATATCTCCTTCCTGCTTAAACCTAACAGCTAGTTGAAACTCCCTCTGAGGCACTCATCACCCTGCCATCCTTTGCCGTTATTTATCAGTCATTTACTAGGTTTTTAAGGTCCTGAGGTTAGGAACATTTATTTCCGGTTTTTGAGAGTCTCTCCTGGTGTGTGTGTTCATGGTAGGTGATGAACCTGAATTCCGCTGAACACATTCCTTTTGCAGTGAGCATTTTATTTTTTTTTATTTATTTATTTTTGTGTGTGTATAGATTTTATTTCCCCCTACCAGAAGCAAGAAAAAAGGGGGGCAACTGGCTGACTCAGTCAGTATAGCACACAACTCTTGATCTAGGGATTGTGAGTTCAAGCCCCATCAGTGAGCATTTTAGGTTAAAGGAATTTAAATTGAGAAAATAGATATGTTGCTGATGTATTTCTGTGGCTGATGTGAGCTTGCCATCATGTAACTCGATCCGAATAGGTCTGTCCCCCTACCTGATTTCTGCGTCTCAGAGCAAAACGGGGGAACATGGGCAAGGACAGAAAAGGTGACTCTAGAAATTCTCTTTTAGTAATCCAGACACATGGCAATGAATGATTTATACACACACACACACACACACACACACTAGAAGGTTTTCTTTATAGCTCCATCACATAACTAACAGTTTAAATGAGTTGGATTTGAACACTCACAAGATAATAAGAAAACATTTGGAATACTGACCATTCAGTGGCCATCTATGCTGTAGGGTCAAAAACGTATTTTTGGAACAATGATTTTTATTGTTACTTGCTATTGCATGGCATAAGGTCTTTGTGTGAGCATATAAAACAGTTCCTCCCCACGGGGTGCCTGGGTGGCTCAGTTGGTTAAGCGACTGCCTTCGGCTCAGGTCATGATCCTGGAGTCCCAAGATCGAGTCCCGCATCGGGCTCCCTGCTCAGCAGGGAGTCTGCTTCTCCCTCTGGCCCTCCCCCTCTCATGTGCTCTCTCTCTCTCATTCTCTCTGTCTCAAATAAATAAATAAAATCTTAAAAAAAAAAAAAAAAACAGTTCCTCCCCGATGAAGGTATTTTACATTCAGTGATACCCAAATCCATAACCTTAATCATGTGGTTTAAAGAAATAATGCACCATAACATAGGCATGGGACACTCAGCTCTGAACAATTAAATGAGATTGATAAAAATCAACACCAGATAAACACCCTTTTGACAATAGGCCTCATCATATGATGCTTGAGAGAAACCGAGTTGCAAATAATAAAGATATAAAAATGCTGTGAAAGATTTCAATTTAACACAGAAATAAATATTATAACCATGTGTTTAACCAACTAATCAGGAATTTGGTCATTCTTTTATTTTATTACTAGTACAGTGCCTAAGACGTAACAAATGGCCCCAAAACCATTTGCCAGGAATATACATTTGCATGCTGATATTTTATGATTCACAGTTTGTCCTTAACTTGTGCAAACTCCCTGCTCATTTTCTTCTTCCAGTTTTACCTATTTTAGTGTTCCCTGACACACTCTTGCTTCTTCTGATGACTGGCAAAGGAACTACTAATACTGGTGGTAACAAGAAGAAGAAGAAATAATAATAAATACCCCATGTCTGCATAATGTTTTATAGTTGTCAATGTTTTAGCTACTAATATTTCAGCTTAACTCTCATAAGAAAGCTGTGAGGAAGACAGGATTATTATACTGAATATATGGATAAAGGGACCAAAACTCATGGAAGTCATTTGCCCCAGTTCCCACAGCTTGTGAGTAATATAATCAAAGTATGTATCCAAGCCTACTGAGTCCAAATTCAGTTCTCTTTCCATGTTTCTATTCTAAGTTGGGGAAGAGCTGAAAATCAAATAACTCTATTTGGATGATTTCTGAATTGAATTTCAGCTCTTCATCAATCATGGTGGTTAAAGGTGTGAGAGACCACAGGTAAACAGCAGGCACTTAATCATTTGTTCACCTACTTACACAACAAACAATTCTTTGGTGCCTCATGTTTGCCAAGCATATAAAATCACTTGGCAGTGGGGCGCCTGGTTAACACAGTTAAGCATCTGCCCTTAGTTCAGGTCATGATCCCAGGGTTCTGGGATTGAGCCCTGTGTCAGGCTCCCTGCTCAGGGGGAAGCCTGCTTCTCCCCATCCCTCAGCCCTCTCCCCTGCCTGTGCTCTCTCTCTCACTTGTTCTCACTCTCTCAAATAAATAAATAAAATCTTAAAAAAAAAATCACTTGGCAGGTCCAATTGTCCTTAAGCACTTAGGGTATTTACGTTATAAGGATACAACTTAGATTGGTATATTTTTAACATTTCAGGATAATTTTCAGAAAGAAATCAGCAGGATAACAACTTTTTAATCATCTGGTTCAAGTTTGCACTCAGACTGTAAGAGGTGGAGGGCAGAGAAGGACACCACATGGTAAATGAAAGGCTGTTGTAGTGAAGACCATGGTGTGCAACGGAGATGCCACAGTCCTCCCCACACCACTCCCAAGACTGATGCACTCATTGACCCCATTGCTAAGAATAATAGCAATAGACAACTTGATGTTGAGTGCCTCAATAGGGGCTGCCCTTTGTTGACCAGGGCTGACAGTAAGAGATTCCATTATAAAACCAGACACCTTAATAGCAGATGGGATGATAAGACACCAAAATAATAAAGGCCAGATGGTGGAAGATAATCATCAAAAGTAAGGTGGACACAGCAGCAAGATTGGAATGGCAGCCTGGAGGGTTTGATGACCCACAGACTCACAATAGACATGATTATTAGAACACAATATTGCTAGGGGCAAGATAAATGAGCCACCAAGAAAGGTACTACTCAATCTGTACAATCAAAAAAACAAACAAAAAATCAGACAGGTGATTGGGAGGCTGATGGCATGTAAAAAGTCTCAATCCCAGCCATGAGAGATGATGGACTCTGAAAAACAAACTGAGGGTTCTTGAGGGGAGGGGGATGGGAGGATGGGTTAGCCTGGTGGTGGGTATTAAAGAGGGCACGCTCTGCATGGAGCACTGGGTGTTATACACAAACAATGAATCATGGAACACTACTTCAAAAATTAATGATGTAATGTATGGTGATTAACATAACAATAAAATTTTTTTTAAAAAGTCCCAATCCCTTGCCCAATTTCTGAACCTAAGCCAGGTACAGGGTATTATCAAATATTTTGAAGATTTTTGGATCCAGGCTCCAGGTTGACATTTATACCAAGGACCCAAGGCATCATTCACAACCACCTATTAGAGTGGGGGTGTCTGAAGACCAAGTAATTTAAAAAAAGAAAAAAAAGTTCAACTCACAGAAGGTCTACTGGGTTCATAGACCTATCAATAGGTCCTCTAAATGAAAGAAATTTTCGTGGTGGTTGGTGCAACCCCAAACTGGTTTCTTGGCCAGCCAAAATAGTAAACCAAAAAAACGTTACATCCTGAGAGAACTGGCAGAAGTTGGTACCATGTTTAAAGACCTACAGGACTTAAGGAGGGTGGTCCCAACCATTTCTCTATTTAATTTGCAAGCCTGGTTCCTGCAAAATCAGATGGATCCTGGAGGCTTAACAATAGACCACCACAAACTCAACCAAGCAGTCTCAATTGTAGTTACTGTACCAAGTATATATCTTTGCTAGAACAGATTAGCACAGCCTCAGGCATATGGTATGCAGCCACTGACCTGGCTTATGCATTCTTTCCCATCTCTGTGAGAGGCAGTTCTCACAACAGTGAACATTCACAGTCTTGCCCTGGGGGCTATGCTAACTCTCTTGCCCTATATCATAAAGTGATCCGAAGGGACCTGGATCATCTGGGCATGCAGCAGAATATCACATTTGGCCTGTCATATCAATGATAAGTAAATTGGGCTGGAATATTGAGAAGCAGCAGTATGTTGGAAGCTTTAGTAATAAACATAACCCTTAGGTGGGTAAAGATAAACCCTACAGAGACTAAGAGATCTGCAACGGTCAGTAAAATGTTGAAGGCCCAGTAGTCTGGAAGAATGCCAGGACATCCTCTCAAAATAAAGAAGAAATAATTGCATCTCCTACCTCCCACCACAAAGAAGAGAGCAAAATGTCTGGAAGGCATTTTTGAAGGCCTGGAAAAAGCATATTCCACACTTGCACTGTTGTTCTGACCCATATACCGGGAATCATGAAAGGTTGCCAGCTTTCAGTGCATCCCAGAGCTGCCAAAGCGTGTGTGGCAGGTCCAGGTCATGGTACAAGGAGTCTTACCACTTGGGCCAGAGGACACTGCAGAACTTGTGGTTTTACAGGTATCCGGTGAAGGGGCAGGAGGAGATGCTATATGGAGTTTACAACCGACTCCAATATGAGGATCACAGTGAAGAATCCTAGGATTCTGAAGGAAAGCCACACCACTCGCAGTGGACAATTAGACACCCTTCAAAAAACAAAAAACACAGCTCTTAGTGTGCTACAGGGCCTTGGTAGAAATGGAATGCCTGACCATAGGACAATAGTAACCACACTGTCAGGACGGTCCACCATGAGCTGGACTCTGTCCAGCTGCAACAGTGGGAGCTGTGGTTCACTCTACTAACCTTCCTCTTGAAAGTTTCTACCCATGAAAAGAGGCCCACCAAAACCCTGAAAGAGCTATCTCTAGAACTTCTACAAGGCAAATGGACCTGAGTGGCACAAGGAATGGACTTCAACTTGCATTCAGTGACTGGTCAAAGAAGGTATAAAAGCTCAAGCCCCTTGGCTCACAGTCATTTTAGATCCAGAATTCCTTGTAGGGTCAGCTGAGGTCTGGTTTTGACATCAGAGCTTTCATTTTCCCTCTTCCCCATCCTGCATTCTTCACTCCCCTACAGGTGTTAACCCAAGAATGCTCCCCAGTAAACTTTCTGCATGCTAATCTCAGAATTTTCTTCCCAGGGAATCTGACTTGGAACAGCTGTAGTTAGAGTGGCCATCTTTCCTTGATATACTCCCTTTAACAAGAAAATCTTTTTATATTATGGCACTTAAGGAGAGTCTTGAAAATCAAAACTCACTTAGCTACCCCTAATGGGTCAATCCACAATTCAAGAATTTAACCTTTCTAGTTATCTTTACAAAACTAAAGTTAAAATTAAAAAGTCATCTAGAACATGTAAATACCTAAACTTTGTTTTTGTAGCTCTTTATTTAAACACATTTTTCATTACTTTATAAACATATTTTCCCATTCTATGAAATCAACATCATTGCTACATTTTCATACCTTTCTTCTTTCATAAAAATATAAAACCAGGGGCGCCTGGGTGGCTCAGTCGTTAAGCGTCTGCCTTCGGCTCAGGTCATGATCTCAGGGTCCTGGGATCGAGCCCCACGTCGGGCTCCCTGCTCCGCGGGAAGCCTGCTTCTCCTTCTCCCATTCCCCCTGCTTGTGTTCCCTCTCTCACTGTGTATCTCTCTGTCAAATAAATGAATAAAATCTTTAAAATATATATATATATATATATATATATATATAAAACCAAAGCCTTTTATTTCATTCAGCCTCTAAATCTTTCTACTGGGAAACAACTACAAATGCCTAAAACTCCATTTGTCAATAGTACCAATCTACTAGAGCTAATGGTAAAAGCAGACATTAAACAAATAATGACACAAATAATCATTTGAATAACAATTGTGATAAGTGATCTAAAAAAAAAAAAGTCAAATTGTATGCACATGCAACAGAAGGCCATAACATAACCTGAGATACCTGGGTTTGTTTCCTTGAGGCTATGGTATCTAAACTGATCCAAAGAATGGATGAGATTAGCAAGATGGAAACATATACAGCAGAGACAAGAGAATTAGACATAATAGAATTTCAAGATGAGTGGAGGAGATGAATATCTTCCTTGGTGTTTCTTTCTTACCCCTTCACAGTATATTTCAAAATACTGAACACTTAGGCTTAAGGGGCCTCATAAAACTAGTGACAGAGTATTCTTCGGTCTTAGGCCCCATGTGCAAAATGATATGAGTCACCATTTCCTTTGGAAACACAGGAAATGTCCCCATCTTCCTGGGTTTTAGAATATCACCGCCACACACCACTTTGACCATGTTATAGTTTTGCAACCACAGGCTTTAAGTGCTTAATAGAAGAGCCCATTGTCTATACTCTAGTAGTTTAAATGCCAAGGAACAAAGAATGTACATTATACAGATGTGGAGATGTTCCATCACATTTACATAAAAGCAGAATTCCATCCCACCCCCTCTATATGCTATATTTCTTAAGGACAAGAATCACACAAAAACCAGGTCTTACCCATCTCTGTATCACCAGCACTTAGCACAGTACGTGACACATAGTAGATGCTACATTTAATGAATCAATTAAATCAAAGCTTTAATAGTAGTCATCTGTATTAATTCATACATTGAAATAATAACAGTGATTGAACATGGCAGGAATATTTCATCAACTCCAAAATTTAAAGAATCTATGGAACACTTTTTAAACTTAAGCTAAATTTACAATTAAAAAAAAAAAAAACCTCCATGCAATAATTTGTGGTTAACTCTTGCTTTTGTGTATGAGTAGTAACAGATACACAAAATAGATAATGCTTTCTCCTGAAATCAATCTCTTGAAATGAATCTAAGCCAAGATAATCCAGCCTGTTGATTCCTTAGCAGAGATTTCAGTAAAGAACTCCTGGCAAACATTCAGCATCAAGTTATGCTAGTGGAGGCCTAGAAAACCTGGATGATATTTCAGCTCCTCACCAGCCTGTCCATCACTCCACTGTCAGATGACAGGTGCGTGTCTCCTGAAAGTGCCGCAACACCTTTAAACCGGCACTTTCTCATTCTTGTTAAGGTATGGAAACAACAGCTACCTGATTTCAATCATTGTCCTGTCATCACATTCTCAGCAGGTTACTTGGGGGCCCAAGTGGCATTTTGTACTGCTATACATATTTCAGCAAAGTGTAATTCTCCTTTTTAGTGACTGCATAATATAAAAAAGTATCACAGAAGGTATCGGTATGACATTATGATTAAAGGAGTTTTTATTTTAAGGAACAACAGAAAAATCACCGCAGAAGGGAATACAAACTTTCTTGAGAACAAAACGAAAAGTAATTATGACAATGAAAGCATGGCATATTGAAGATGACTTCAGGCAGGACAGTTCTACAGAGGAAAAAAAATCCTATATTAAAATTAACCCTAAATGTGTGTGTCCTTCAAATCAATTATTAACAAGTGATCTAGTAAGCAAGCAAGGTCAATTTCTTGCTCTCATGGCTCTTCGGATAGACTGTGAAACATCTTAAAAGTTAAATGCTGTTTTAGACCATAGTTCCATGAATGTGTACTAGCACTAAAATCATGGATGGGAAAAATGCAAGCATAGAAGTTACCATGGGTGGTCTGTGCCCTACTTAACAAAACAACTGACAAATAATATTTCTCTCTCTCACTCAACTATAGAATTATACATAATAATATGTATAATGTATTTACATACATGTGTAGCATATACATACTGATTGAATAATAAATGCACAACTTGAAAACATATTGGAAATTGATTTAGGGCTTTCTGTTTCAAAACTTTAGCATAACATACTTTTAAGACTGGGGCACTTACTGTCACACAGGAATACTTACTGAAACACACATTTTTAACACCAGGGCAGAGCAGACAGCTTCGGTTGGGAAACCTAGAGGATATTTCATTTGATTGCACCAAAAGATGAAAAGGCAAGAAAAAAAAAGGGATGAAACAATTTCAGATGCTTTCAATGCATTTATCAAATCAGAATGAACTGTTTTTGACTGTGGGTGTAATAAGTCAGAAGGTATTCACTAAACCAAAAGGCAAGAACTTCTGTTCCACTGTGACTAATTCAACTTAATGAAATTATTTAAAAAAAAAAACTATACATGAGATATAAGAAGAAAAGGGAAGATGATAGAAAGGCAAGCAGCAGCTGGCATATTTCATGAGAAGACAATGGCCACAATTTTGAACCGATTAATGTTAGAATTTCTGCCTGACCTTGAATTTGACAAAACTCAATATAAAAGGACTTCAATTATAAGAGGTTATCTAAAAAGTGCTTAAACTGGTTTTCCCAAGATGAAATAGTAACAGAAGTTTGTATTTATTTCGTAAACAACCATGATAACCTTGCTATTTGCACCACCAATGACATCTTCCGAAGACTATAGAATCCTTACTCTATAAATCTTTATAGATAAGCAGCTCATTCCTTGTTTGTCAAAGTGTGGTAGGAAGTTGTACCACGAAAATAATATAGAAATGAATCAAATGCAATATTGTATATTAGAAAAATAAAATATATTGTAGCACATGCCATATACTTTGTAATAATCCCTTATTCCCTACAAACAAAATTGACATCATAGTAACCAACACTTAAACCTCTGAAAATGGTCTTAAGAACTAATAAAAAATAACAGCATTAATAATCCCTTGCGTGTGTTTATTGCTTTATAGTTTACAGACCTCTTTGGCCAGTGTTCTGTGAGTTAATCTTTACAATGGCCCTGTGAGACAGGTAAGGCGTCTAAGACTTAGAGAGGTGACTTGAGTCTACAGCCATCCCACCCTGAGTGCGCCCGATCTCGTCTGATCTCGAGAGGTGACTTGATTTGTCCAAGATCATGTGGCTAGTAAGAGGCAATCTTAGAATTCAAACACAGTCAGTTTTTTCCAGGACAACTGAACTATTTCTCTGAAGTTATTGCATCTCTTCAGGGATAGGAGATATGCAAGAAGAGAATTTTGCAATGCCAACACTCATAAGGTTTTATGTGATCTATTATAAAGAAACAGAAGACCACAGTTCTTTCAGGTTTTAATATTTCCTCAAATTATCTGCTATAGATTTAAGGTTTCAACCAAGCAATATTGCATAGAATTTCTTATATAGTAGGAGCCTTCTTATCAAACATAATCAGGGCCAGTGTTAAGTTGTTAATTGAAGAAATCAGTGAAAGTATGAAATCATTAAAAGATAATAAATACCTTAAATATTTTATTTTGTTAAAACATATAAATGTTTTACATGTTTTATATAAAACATGATATAAAATATTTAGTCACCAATATATTAAAATGTAGAACTAAAGACTTTTGTTTGAGAATGGGCCCAGTGATTATCATCCTACAAATCTGTCTTATAACAACACCATCTATAATTTATTTTATACAATTTTCAATTTCAATTTGAAGCAAGAACTTAATTAGTTAAGGAGAAACTAGATTTGCCTGGCCTCAAAGTATCTCGCCTGAGAAAAATATTAATTACAAAGGGAAGTATAGAAACTTTATTGAAATCCAGCAAACACCACCTTAACCAAGTGATAACATCACCAGCAATAATATATCAACATCATGAGCCCTTTGATATGATGTGCTGAGAATGGCAGAATATCACTTTTGTGGTATTTTTGCCCAAAATGCATAACCTCATTCCATTCTTAGAAAACATGAGACAAACCGAAATTGAAGGGCATTCTATGAAATAACTGATGGGTTCTTCTTAAAGGGCAGATTATAGAACAGTTATAGATTGGAGAAGATCAAGAAGAAATAACAGCTTAAATGCAATGTGGGATCCTGGATTGCATGCTGGAACAGAAAAAAGAAAATTAGTGGAAAACTTGGTAAACTTGGTAAACTTTAAATGAAGTCTGTAGTTTAGTTAGTAGTGTTGTGCCAACGTTAACGTCCTAACTTTGTAGATTGTACTATGGTTTGGAAGGAGCTGGTAAGGGGTATATGGGAATTCTATGTACTATTATTATAAACTTGTAAGTCCAAAACCAACACACAAAAACACTTGCAAAGCCATCTGATGGCATACCAATAAGAAGGCAGCCAAAGCTCCAGGAGAGGAAAGAAGCACTGTGGGCAAAGAATAGGAAACAAACAGCCAGCATTAAAGACAGAGAAAAGACATTCTAACTCAGTAGTTAATCAAAGAAATGAAACTTAAAACAACGAGACATTTTTGTCTTCATATTGGCACATTAGCTTTACGTATAAAATTCAGTGTTTCATGTGTACTGTTCAGTATGTGAAGATATGGCGAGAAAGGCATTCACAACAACTACAGGTCAGCATGCAAATTGGTAAAAACTTTTCCGAGAGAAGATTTTAAAATTTAATTGTGCATATCCTGTGGCCCAGCATTTCCATTTCCTAAGATTTTATTTTGAAGAAATAAACGTCAAGAATACAAAAGATGTTCATTGCAGTGTTATTTATAATCATGAGAATTTTTAAACAACCTAAATGCTCATCAATAGGAGAAGATTAAATTATTACAATGTACCATATAATAGAATATTATGCAATAAACTTTAAATATCTAGATTTATATTCATTGACATAAAGAGATATCCATGAAGTATTATTATGTGAAATATGGTAATAAAAGAACACTTATTATAAACATCAATTATAGTACAATTTACAGTATAAAACATTTATAGTATGTATGAATACAAAGAAAATGCGAGCATGTATATGGTGTGTGTATATATGCATACACACACACACATATATATATACATATATATACCTGGTTTCTTTTCGTTTTTTCTTTTGTCATTGTATCTTTTATATTTTCTATAATCAACGTGTGTTAATCTTGCAATACAATTTTTTTAATTCATAGCCCACCCAATTACTTTTTAAGGATCTCCATTTGTGTGAGGAGGCTCACTATCTCCATTCAGGGAAGGGATGGAAAACCATCTATGGGATGTGCCTGCACTTGCAGGAACCAGCACTAGGTGGTACACTGTTTCTCTAGCAGCTATTCAAGAATTTTTAAGATTTTTTTTTTTTTAAAGTAATCTCTACACCCAATGTGGGGCTCAAACCTACAACCCCAAGATCAAGAGTTGCATGCTCTACCAAATGAGCCAGCCAGGTGTCCTCAGGACATTTTAATTTAAGGTTGCTCTACATACATACTGCTGTGATATGACCCCGGAGAAAATATCCCAGTTCCGTATTTTTTCTTTCATTTAAAATTTCTTTTACCTTCTTCCAAATCACTATTAACGTAATAGTCAATTAAATTCACTTACAGTAAGTACTCCATTGCCTTACAGTAGGCACTCGAGAATTTATTGTTGGGAAAATAATACATAATTTAAAATGGAAACGACAGATACATCAAAAATTGAAGAGTTTCTTCCCATCATTTTGTCATCTTTCTAAACAAAGTTGAACTGGTTTCATGGAGGCCTTTAAAATGGTACTCTGCATTGTGAATCCAAAGAGAGGATCAGTATTTCCTAAATGTATTTCAATTCCTTTTTTTCATAAAGCATCTTTGAAGCAATGACATTCCAAGGAATACAATTTGGGAAATCCTGTCCTCAACACTTGTCTGTCTTGTTTAATGTAATCACCCTAGCGTCAACCCAGCTGAAGTTTCAATCTTCTTCACTCCTTATTGTGGACTTCATCTTGGCTGCATTTGTATTCCTCACAGCTATCACGTCCCATATTGGCATTGGCCATTATGTTGCCAGCCAGGTGCTGAAGTCTGTCAAATGCAAACTCTCTGTACTTAAAACACTTCTCTCCGACTGTCACTTGGCTCCTTGCAGGTGCTGATTAAGTAGATCCCTTTCCTATTGATACCTGATTTCCAGTCTAAACTAAACTCAATTTAAAAGCAAAAACATGCCTACTCCCCAGCATCTAGTTCATGTGAGATAATAAAATCTCATTTCTCTGGAATGCCTATGAAGTAGAGCTAAGTAAGTTGAGCTACCACTCATCAAGGCACAGGTTGAAAATGTTCTCATTATCTGAAGAAAAGAAAAAGTCGACCAGGAAGATAAGCATCCTATCTTATTATACATAGTGAGTGCTAGTCTTATCACTACTAAGTAATGGTTTGCAGAAGCAATTATTATTGCCTAGCTACTTACGTGTCTCTTCCACTGGACTGTGAGCTTGTTGGGAACAGGAAATATGAGGGGCTCATCTCAGTTCCCCCAATAACTAGCATGGCATCTGAAACATTGCAGCCTTATTAGATATTTGAAGAATGAATAAAGTAATAAATGAGTAAATGAGTGCATAGAGTGATGTTTGTTAATAAATTTTGAAGGAGCAGCTTAGTTCTAATAATACCAAAATTAAAAATCTGTATAAATATACGCTAACATTAAAATGGCTTTCTCATTCATTCATTCGTTCATTCATTCATTCAAAAAAATGCTTATTATGTTCATACTGTATTTCAGACACTGGGCTAAGGATACAAAGATGAATAAGAATTAATTCTGCCTTCAAGAAGTACACAGTGTAGTGAATAGAAATAACTTGCATTTATCAAATGCTTCTTCAAAAATTTTTATTTTTGGGCGCCTGGGTGGCTCAGATGGTTAAGCGTCTGCCTTCGGCTCAGGTCATGATCCCAGGGTCCTGGGATCGAGTCCCGCATCGGGCTTCCCGCTCCTTGGGAGCCTGCTTCTCCCTCTGTTTCTCTCTGTCTCTCATGAATAAATAAATAAAATCTTTAAAAAAAAAAAACTTTTATTTTTGATATTCATAATAATCCAATGAGGCTATTGTCTTCCATAACTGCATTTTAAATCTTTTAAAAGTCATATGTAGGTACAAAAGAAACCTTATAAAAATATATAAGGCAAAAGGCATAATGAC